GTTATATTCGGATGAAAATGCGTTTGTTATGCGTTTAATTTGAACACAAAAAGTTTTCTCGAGTTAATTCATAAATTTTCTGGTTTCAGCACCACAATGGCGGCGGGAGTGTCTAGGCAACCCGTGAAACACTGAATTATGATATAAATCAACTAAAAACTGTGTTAAAATGACCGAAAACCAGCGTAATTTACGTTTAAATATGTTAAACATTTTTTATAATAAAAAGTAAAATATTCTTGTAACGAGAACATGACGTGTTTGAATTAGTTATCAGTCCGTAAGCCATCTTGAGATAAAAATAGTTAACGCAGTAATTAACTTGTTATTACCTGATATTACTTTGTACATTCATGTGACATTAAAACAGCGGAACATTCCTCGTAAAACGTAACATTATTACAACAACGTTATGACAAATTATGCGTTCAAAGTTGGTGTAATGCGAACATGTTCGCTTCTTGCTAATAAAGTCATTTCCACGCATTTCCACTCGTTTCCAGTTGCCTGCTGTCATTAACAGACATTGTTTGTCATTCATTGTCGTTTGTAAGTTAGAGTAAGCCATCAGGTAAACACACGTAATGTCTGTGTAGTTTTAATCGTCGTTTTCTCGACGATAACGTCGAAATTGTAGCAAATATGAGCCACTAACTCGAAGAGAACATCTTGTGCGGTCGCAGTGTCAATGAAAGTCAATAAAACTCAACGAAAACGGTAATTATAAAGTGTCGTTACCGCCCGGTTTAATTGTTTAAAGCGTTTGCGACTCTCACGCTTCGTATGTTGCATAACTCACGATCATAACACGCGCAAAGCTTTGTTTTAATGATAGGCAACCAACTAGACATGTTACACTAGCTACGCAGACATTTTGTTGTTTTATTCCATCGAATCAAACTAAACTCAAACCAAACTGTGATATAACACAAATTCACGTGCAAATCGTGAATCGTTAAACGCATTTGAATCGCTGATGCGTCAAATAGTCGGGTCGTTAATGTTGTCGCTGTCGACAAAACGCATTACAGCAAACGGGCGTTTATTGCGTCTATTAACGCGCCGACAAGAAACTACACATCACGAAAATGTTTGCAGAGTGTCGTGAATGTGCGAGGCGTTAATTTCTGACGCAATTTTCATATTGTACAAAGTGCTTCTTTGTCAATCATAAAACTTTCAAATTAAAGGTTAGGTTAAAATCAACATAAAATGCAAATTTTTAGAAAATTTAATTTCTTTGCAAACAAAATTCTTTGTAACTTGATACTCTATCACCGAATCGTTGAATTACACTTAAGGTGTTTTTAATTCATTTTTTATTGTTTTACTATGGTTAATTAATGTTCGTCGCTTGCGCTCATGCGTTAAGATGAAGATAACGAGCTGGGATTCATAATTAATGAAGAAAACTTCAAGCTCAAACGATGTAGAATGGAGATGTTGCTTAATCTAAAAGTCAAAATTTGAGTAAAATTATTGCTTAATTTCGCTGTCATAAAGTGAAAAACTTTAACTTCAACGCGTATCGCGTTACAAGTTACAAACTTCTTAATTTTATATTGAGTTTTTTCATTTTTTTATTTTCTGATTTTTAACAGGTGTGATTTTTAGTTTGTAAGGAAGAATCAACTTACATCAAGTTTATAAAATGTTTCCAATCGATATTAAGTTTTAATTAGACTTTTTTCATCGAGTCATCTTTGCAATCTGATATCAATTTCGTCAAGATGAATGTTGTGACCGGAAGGCGACGATTATTCAACCGTCGATTACTCAAACACTCAATCTTACATCTTAAATCTTGAAAGTTGCCAGTCGCCAAAAATGGCGTGACACTTTAATTACTTCTCAGTTTTCTACGCGGACAATTACAATTTTTATTTGTGCGCATTTTTAAAATATCTCTAATCTTCCAGTTAAATTCGGGTCAACTCCTTTTCGGTGTTCACTTTATGATGTTGCCGCCGCGACGAATAATCTCTAAGATAATCAAGAACATTGATTTTTTTCTTGGGACGCTGCGAGATATAATTACAAATTAGTCAGATATAAACGTATAAAAGATTAGACCTCCACAGAGAGGTGTAACGGGTCGAAATGGAAAGTTGAAGACGTTTTGTGAGACAATGTTGGAGGTAACATTCCGATTATCTTAAATTACTTCTAATCACTTGACATAATCAACACAGGAAGGTATTAATTCAACGATAAGATAATTTTTTATTTTAAAGAGTTGAATACTGTGTTTTATTCATCACTTTTTGTGCAATTAGTAGTATTGCATGTTTGCATGAGTTTTATGTTTTTTGCGCTGACAAATTATTTATTAGAGTCAATTTTTAAGTGAGGCGTTATTGCAGGCAACAAGCCACGCACAGCAAACATACATACATAGATTGTTCGTCGGGGGTAAAAAATGCGAAAAACCCCGGCTGCGGAACGCGCGAGTCGGTTAGTAAATTGCTTTTTTTGCGGGCGAATAACAAAATAACAAATCTGAGGTCGGGAATCATCCATCAAGAAGAAGTTCGGGTTTGCGTTGCGCTAGCGTCCGGTAAAAAATTGCCACTGTGCGAACAATTCCAACCCTTACATTCCGCGTAAAACCACTAAATCCACTAAAATAATGAAAAAACAAAATTAAAATAAAAGCAAAAAAATAAACGCAAATTTTGCTTGTTATTTAATGTTGAACAAGCATAATAGAAATTACTTAGTGGCGATGTGGTTACTTTTGTAACTTGGGGTAACTTTTCGGAAGGGCGCGCTGATAACTGTGATAACCGATGATTTATTAACATTGCGATACTCAAACTCGTACATTTATTGGCGTTTATGTCTCTAGCACCGCTTGAGTGCATTAGGGACATTGAGGAAGGTTTCGAGGGGTGCCAAACCACCCTACGCCTCTGGCGGTGAAAATATGCCACTGAAATACCGCAGCCGTTCGGCGCCTACAAATTTCCCTTCGGTATTTTCGATTTTCTCCCCTAAAAATGACAAAAACACCCCGAAATAACAAAATTGGACTGCTAACACTCATAAGTACCGTCGTTAACACTCCAAATTATTCAAAAATACATTTTTTATATTTTTTAAATTGAATGAGAAAAATATATACAATTTGAACATTTCAATGTCTGAATTGTGATGTTAACCCACAGAGAAATGCCAAAATTGTCGTTGTTATTACATTTACCTTAAAATTTCTTGAGTGAAACGCCCGAAAATCTTCCTCCGCATGTTCCGCCAGCTTTGCTCGCAACGGCAAATAAGAAATGTGTTATTTTCATTCGGTTCCGCTTCGAAAACACATTTGCCCAATGTTGCTCCCAGCAGCAATATGCCAGAATATGCCAGATTATAAATAAATAATGCACACGACGAGCGCGCAAACATTGCGTCAAGTGAATGGCATCGTCTCAAATTAAATTACATCCTCTGATGTGATGTGAACACGCCGAACATGTAATGCTACGTTATCAATAATAATATTACACACACACACACTCGCATATTAATTTATTACAGCTTGGAATTTTGATGTGTCTTTATCTGGAGGAGGATCAAGCTACAACGAATATCAATTTGATCGCCTACGTGCAAAGAAAACTTTCTTATTTTAAAAAATTTATTTTTTGTTAATTTTTTAGTTTTATCAGTAAATTACGCAATTTTTTCGTATAAAAATATTTTTGAAATGTTGATGTTTAAGATTATTTTATTTTTGTTTTTATGGATTGAAAATTTGATTGAATTTATCGAGTTTCACGTGTTCGGTGATTTTTTCGATCGAATTTGAATGCGAGACGAGATGCGTTCGGTCATTTCGAAACTTTTCTCATAGATAGGCGCGCGAGAACATCTCCCTGAAGAGCGTAGAAGAGATTTCGAAGATAGAAGACACTCGAGATGTCATCCGCGTCGAGGAGCACGGTCGCGGAGCACTCTCGATAGAACTTGTTTATGGTTCTTCTTGTTTTATGTTTGTTGGCTTGTTGCTCGGGTACTACTCACACTACTAACGCAACGAGAGTACAACTCTGCCGTGCAATGTAAACATTCAAGATAAGTGAAGCGATGGTTTATTAAAATACACTTAGTATTTTATTTCGCATTATAATAAAATATTTTGGATTTGGTTTGGTTTTGCTTATGTAATCACTTAATTTTATTTTTGGATTTAATTTTGTTGGGTTATTTCATTGTTTATCTTTGTTAAAGTTTTTAAAAAATGATGAAAATGTTCCCAAGTTATCGTTAAATATTTGACGAAATGCATTTTTCTGACGAGGTGAATATTTGGTTGCCTATTATGTTGGTGTTTAATATATAGGTATAACAGAAAATTGGTTATGTAACGCCATAACTAAAGATTGTTTCAATCAAACTTTTAATTTTTGATTTTTGCGTTTTCTCCAATTTAATGAGCAAAATAAACACGAAAACGTCGATAAAATTTAAGAAAAAATAAATTTTGATAAGAAATTTCTATTTTTATGCAAAAATTTAGCAAATTTTTGAAAAATCTGGTAACTACATGTTAAACTCTCTATTGAAGATTAATTTTAAGCAAGTTGATGTAAGTTTGCTTGACCAAATCTTGTTTATTATTAAAAAATCCCAAAAACTTCCAAAATTTATGTATACCTAAATGGCTGATAACGTGTAAAACAGTATGATAATACCATTTGCGCATGATAATGTCCGCGCCGAAGTAGAAATATAAGCAAACAAGACCAGCAAGAATTTTAAGTGGCCATAATTTCGGGTTGCCGCTTGCTCAACGAAAAAAAAAAAATTACAGCTTGGGGGAGAAGCCTTAATTATGTCCCACTAACGACCGTGCTAATTCCAGTAAAAATTGTCGGATATCACGACACGCGCAGGAAGCAAGCGAACTAATGCCGAACGATTTTTCTTCCCACTCATGAGTATAATAATATTTCCTCACATTTTCTCACAACAAAAAAGAAAAAAAAAAACATAAAACTCACTTGGCCTATCCAACTCGTTGGCAGCCGAAGCATCGTCCACAGTATTGAAGCCGCTGGAGACGGGCGCGAGCGTGACGCAAACGATGCAGACGAGCACTCGCATCAACCGCCCCATGGAGAACGTCGCCGCCGCCACGTTCATGTCATACCTGCCGCGACGCACCATCGCATTCCTCGCATCGCACACACAAAAATCACCAGCCAATCCCACTCGTTTCACCGATTATCCTCTATTATCCTGTGGTGAGCACACAATCAATACTAATTAACATCGATAAATATTTGAACGCTGTTAATTTTTAGGATCATTTCCTTGACGCTTAGAATACTGGCCACACAATTTATATATTTAAATATTATAACCATTAATTAATTTATTATCACACTTTAGTTAATTCCACATTAATTAGATTTATATTTATATGTGATTAGACGATCTATACTGATTTGTTTCTTTATACTGATGAAAGGACTTGATTAGTTGATAGCTGATGAGATGAGTGACAACAATATCAACAATTATTTAATTTATTGTTTACAATTATTTACGATTTAAGTTAATGAATGGTTAAATGCTTATGGAGTATATACACTGGCGCGGTTTGAACACTGAGAATTTTCATTTGTGGAAAATCAGTTATGTTACGCACGGAATATTTTCGCAATTTGAACTTTTGTCCCCGGCGCGTTTTATATCCTGAATTTTCCGCTCTTATTGTGCCACTTTCCTCACAAGTTTCCAGTGCGAATTCTCTTCCAAGCAGTTATTCAGAAAGTTTGCATTATTTCTTGCTCTCCGCTTGTTCACAAAGTTTTAAAATTTCAATACAAGTTTGCCAACAACAGTTTTGCATTCCATGATGTTTTTTGTTTTTCACTTTTCACATATTTTTTTTAATTAGTAAAATTTCACATTTTATTTAAAGGTTAAAAATCCATCCTGCGAATTGTTTCTAGATGTGTGCAGTGGCGGCACGCACGCGGAGCACCAGAGAGTGAAAACGCGCAGCTTCGCATCCGCAGGCGTACTGAAGAGCCGCGGCGCGCCGTCCGCAGCGCGGGCCTCCTCCACCTCCTGCGAGCGCCGCGCGAACACGAAGCAGGACGAACGCGATCCTGCCGCGGCGCGAGCACTGCGACGCAGCCAGTGCCCACCTTTGCGTCAATCTAAATTCACGATTTATTGCAATTTAAACGCAAAACTAAATTAACAATAAAATCCAATTGATTTGGATTATATTCTACATGTTTTTACTCGTTTAATGATATTTTTTATTCATCCTGGGAGCTTGAATGTTGGATAAGGTCTTCTGCTCTAGTGGTCGACTTTTTGTTGGAGCAGGGAAACACTGCAGGCCTTTCCCTAGCTAATCTATATTCTCCCTGTTCAGCATCACGTCGGTTTTCCAGCCAACTACGACTACAATATGAGATCTCGACGTCGGACCTTCCTTCTTCATCCTGCTTCCTGCTTGTGCTTCCTGGGTATATAGACATTTTCCTTTTCTTTGGATTCCCCTGTCCTCTGTCCTGATTTCTGCGCGGTGCTCCGCTCATACTCGGTTGATTCTTGCTTCTCTGCATACATTTCTGCTTACAGTGGTCTTTTAGCTCCTTTATAACACTCACAATCTTTGTATTTGTAGGTTATGTGTGAGTGTAAGTGTAGAATAAGTTGCTTACGTCTGTGGTATAGATCTTCACTTGAGTCGTTTTCAGGTGTGTATTGTCTTCATCTTGACCCAAAAGTTTGGTTAAAATCATTAAAATTCCAAAAAAATTTTTTTGTAAATATTTGGATGACTTTGGATGTCATCAATAGTTAACTGCTTTGGGTCAACTGAAGTGCTCCTCGTGCTCGTAAATTTGTCCAAATTTCCTGCGCGCATCACAAGTTGGGAGTTTAAGGAAAGGTCAAAAAAGTGAAAATATATTTGACACATATTCCCTGAGTTGGAGCACTTTGCGACGAATTTTCGGCAGACGGGCAGTAGGAGGTAATAAATAGTTCAGCAAATCGATAAGTCAATTGCTCACTCGAAAGTCAAAACTTACCCCTCACGCTCACGCTACTCAGACGACTCTTAGGCGGGTGTAAAAATATCGCGTATTTTTAGATTTATATCGCAGGCCGTCTGGATAGTTTGAAAGTACGTACCTACTCCTTGATATTTACCCACGGCTCATTGGAACTAAGCAAATTAAATAAAGTGGGTCTTAAATGATTATCGTGCTATAAATATTTGATTGATTTAGAAGTCCGAGTAAGAGTAACTTTTGTGGATTATGTTTGTACATAAAAGGAAACTTAATAATACATCAATATATTATACCTGTGACTAAACTAGAAAGTAATAAATCATGCCATATGTAAACAAGATATACTTTTGAATAATTTTTAATGGTTTTGACTTATTGCTGTAATTTTTGATGATGTAAGTTGAACACATATTTAAATTTTGAAATTATTATAATTTTAGTACAAAATAATTAGATTTTTATTTTTTAAATTTTTTTGATAAAACGGTTTTGTTGTTAGATTCGTGATTTTTTTCTACTTCCGCTTTTAAAGCGCCACTTTTTCCATGGTTTTGAGAGGTAATACCATGACTAAAGTACTTTAGTCACGGCTTTAGTCACGGGGTGGAACTTGCGCCTATGCCAAAACTTAAACGTAGAAATAGAGTAAAAGTAGAAAAAATAACGTAAGCATCAGGTCGCAAAACGTGGTTAAAGTGACGTTTAGCGCACTAGATACTTAATATCCTATAATATGAGTTGCAATATGCAATTATTACTTGGAAACCAAAACTTATAAAGAAAAAGTTAATTATTTCTTAATCAACCCTTTGGTTACGCCTTACCTGATAAGTATTAAATTTACTTTTCCTCATTTTATGTTCGCGTAATAAATGCTTGAGGTAAACACATAAAAAGTTAACAAATGCAAATGCAAAAAGAAATTAAAGCTGTAACAATATTAAAAATTTAAATAACTAAAACAAAAGCTATTAATGGAAACTCATTTTACCGCGTAATTTACGTACGTGATCGTTTGTGGAATGCCGAACGAATCAGAGATATTAATCACAGAACACTAAACGTAAAACTTTATAGTCTAGTTTATCATAAAATACTTGATAATCGATTGGTGGAATTATAAGTATTTGTAATTTTTGTTCATGATCTGTGATCGTGTCATGCCCGCAAGTGAAATAACTTTCAGTTGATGCAATCTTGATTAAAATCAAAAATATAAATTTATAGTTGAGTTGGTCTTATTTGGTTCAATTGCCGAACATAAATATTATTGTTTTGACCGTAAACAATGTTGCTTCTCGGAATTGAATATAAATTTGACTTTTTGTTGTCTTTACTGAAATCATAAACATGAGCAAAAAATTATTTACCTTTCCAAGTGAATACACTGAAAATGGTTGAGTTTTACATCAAAGTAGGCAACACAAAATACACATTGCTATAATTTACACTAAAAATTAAATATCAAATTAGAGCAACTATTCTATAGCAATAATATTTTATAGTGACAATCTCTTAATGCATAATTTATCACCACACACGATTTTATAACCTGTGATTATATTAAAAGCAATAAAATTCAGGTAAATGCAGATAAAAAATGATTTAAATTATTTTACCATTACGATTGTCAAGATATGTTAATTTCCGATTGTAAAATAACCTAGAAATACACATCACAATAAAATTTCCTTCTCTACACTGTAATTTTCAACCAATAAACCTCTGAAAACATAACACTTACAATTGAGGTTATACTATCACTGTCAAAACGTCAAAAATGTCAAATGTGTCAAAATGTCAATATGTCAACAACCAATATCTTCATACCTCTTATTTATACACTTTGCATCAATGAAAATACAACACTTTAATAAAATTAACATTTTCCTTGTCACATCAAACACACTCTTTACTTCTTTGTATTTGGCGAGATATTTAGTCGTAGTCATGCCTCAGCACGCATGCCTTACACGCTTGTAAGTGATACAATGGCCGCTGTGATAATTTATTAGGCAGTTTAATAGTTATTACTCAGCAGCAAACGATTGACGTGCCGATTGGTACTTCATCGAACCAAAGCTCGCAGCTACTCACAACAATTCAAAACTCAAAGAGAAGAAAAAGAAAGTGTTTGCAAATGCATGTATTTACTAGTCACAGCATAAGATTTTATTACCGCACTTCTTAGTTGTGTAGTTATTTTAAGAAAATTAAAAGCGCTAAAGACTTTGTGTAAATGTTCTTTGAAGTGAACTAAATACCCTTCGAAAATAGCTTTTAAATAAGGTTATGATGTTGTAACTTTTGACAGCGTTGACAATACGTTTGTTTCCACGCATTGCCGGTGTAATTTAACGTTTAGTGAACACAAAGTTTAAAGTAAAATTAATTCTAAAACGCTTTTATTTTCGTGCGCGTTTTGTGTTTTCGCATGCGCTTTTTTCTTCTTGTGTTCTGTGCTTTTTCTTGCCCGTTTTCGGGACCGGAGCGTACGTGGTCGAGGTCCGCGTGCGCGCCTGCTCGCTCCCAGGACTAATTAAGGTCGACGACACAACGTGTTGCCGATGTAATTTGTACGAATGGAATTTTAATTTCCTCATTACCATAACCGCCGCAATGTGCGCGCCCCGGCCAAGACTTTAAACGGGAATAAAAGCCAACTTTAAATACAAAAATAGAGAAAAATGAATCGGAAAAAATAAAAAGCTTATTATAGCGAAACACCTAAAACCTAACCCAAAGTTATAAAATGGAACACAAATAATATTTTTGTGTGGTAAAAATGTAAATATAGAAATTAAATAAAAGCTGGACATGAATTGGTGTAGGGTCGAATTGTGCCTGTCCAGTGACAGATTGTATTATTGCGTGGCGCATAATTACCACCGACGTGATGTGTAAACTGTGAGTGTTGGATAAAACGAAATTAGAAATTAAAACGCCATAACTCATTTCATCCTCATTTTATATCAAATTTAAATATTTAGAATTTTATTGCCGCGTTTAATTGTTATTATAATTAAAATTTTAAATCAGAAATTAAAAATTGTAGTAATTGCCATTTTTGGTTGACATTTATTTGATTCAAATAATTTACACTTTGCATGTTCAATTAATGGAGAAATTATGTCATTGATTATCTGTCAAAATATTTATTTCATAATTATTATGTAATAGACCAAGAGCCAGTGACGGCCAGACTTTCGTCATTTTAGGAAAGATGAAATTTTGTCCATGTGTTTCTCCAGCACAGGTAAGAACGATCCCGAATTATGAAACCTGGATCGTGGTTCCTTTGGCAGTTAACAGCCAACAAAGATGTACACATGATGACCTATGTTTCGTTATTTTAGCAAACTCCATTTTTGCATATTTTGTTTGTCACATTATTATAACATGCGCTGCTCATTGCCAGTCACCTGGTATGGTTCCAACCCTAGCCAGACACCCCTAAAGTATATTATATTTTAACTTTTTTTACTTTCGTTATATTAGGAAAGCTGAATTTGATACACATTATACAGAGAGCTATGAAACTGTGTTTTCCAGCACGCCAGACAGTTTGGTCGGTTCTATCATCCTGCCAGACGCATTGAAAGTGTATAAGAGTTGCAAAAATTGAATTGTTTATACATGAAATTTTCGCATAATAGTAATTTTATTTCAACAAATATTTAATAATAATCATCACTGTTATCGATATCTCCATTTTCGCCATCACTGCAACTCCAGTCCGATGGTTAATCGTTATCAATATCGCCTGCTCCGTCCGTTTATACAAAAATAAAATAAAATCAAATTAACTGAAGCTTTTAATAAAAAAAAATTGCGCAACTTTGATGCTAGCAGCTTACCACCTTGCAAGAGTGAGCTACTTCAATAATTTTTGCGAGCGAATCATATATGTTGTATATGGATTATTATTAAATATTTGTTGAAATAAAATTACTATTATGCGAAAATTTCATGTAT